TGCAGACAAAAAGACCATGTAGACTGACGTAATGGTCAGCTGAGGTCGGTCGAACTCATAAGCCATCCAAATGAAAAAGCGTCAATTGCACACTGAGTCTGAGTGGCTGGTGCAGTTTTATTTCTGTGGTCAGAAATAGCGTGTTGTACATCTACAGGTACTAGAACGCAATGTATATATTATACATAGTCCCCTTCGACGCCTGGCAGTGTGTTTGTAACAAACTGAGAACAGGCACGTTGGTACATGAAACTATACGTCATCAGCTGCAGAAACACGACATAGAGGTGGGTACACGCGTCGCACTAGTTCATTTAGCCTCTACGCTACTGACGATAAAAGTCATTAAGCTTGAAGGACTTTACATGACCTTGCATGTTCTCGCGCATTTTATTGTGGCCTCGTCGTACATTAAAAAGATACCACGATATGGCTGCAGTGAAACACTATAGTTCTGCGTCCAAAATGACTTAAATACTACCGTTTTATCTCAGCATACGTTTTGCAGGAGGTACCCATAGAGGTAGGTTATGGCCTACATCAATATCACATGCTCAGTGGTCTTATGATATAGAGGGACATGAAGAGAACTAAAGACATGAGAACAAAAAAGAGCCACAAGGGCCTATCGAGGTTGGTCTACCTCAGGTTCCACGCACCTCCTCGACACTTGAATTTACCATCTGACCTGCCTGAAGTTAGCTATAAATGAGACTCTTGGGCAGATGGAACTTATAAAAATGATTTTTAACTTTTACTAGCGAGGAACTTCCTACAGCTTCGTTGGCAATCCATTCCAATAATTTGTCACTTTTTGACCAGACGACATCTGCCTCTTCATAGTTCTACTCCTTCTTTCCACAAATTGAAACCGGTTTTCTCTAAGTCTCGGCCAAATGCCCAATGCTCCTTGTAGATTTACCTTGTCTATCCCTGTCGTAATCCTGAAAACCCCTTTCAGATCCCCTCTAAGTCTACGATGCTTCAGTGAATGCAAGTCCTAGGCCATAAGCCTGTCCTACAATCTAAGTTGACAATCATATTTATTATTCTAGTTGCTTTTCGCTGTACTCTCTCCAGCCTGTCTATATCTTTTTGGAAGCATGAGTTCCAAGCCTGTACACAATATTCTTGGTACGGTCTAACATAGGCCTCGTAAACTTTTTGACAACATTTCTACTCCTGGCTTAAAATAAAATGATGGCTGTGCGTGTGAGTTAATACACTTTTCCTCAGATACCAATGCACGCCAAAACCTACATAGAAATAGGTAAAAATTGCATTATTTGCGAAAAGCAAATGATCAAGCTTTGCAATGGATTTCTGGCCGGTTGTGTGCTAGACTAATGTAGATCTGGCTCGTGCCAGTCTTTCTCGCGAGTCGGCCAACGACAAATCTTGTCAGTCTACAGTTCCTATTTTCAGTAACTTGCACGCACCTGCCCTCACGCCACACCACAATGTCCACGAGCACAAACAACAGCAGTCTTGCGTCTTCCAGACCAGAGAGCATATGAGGGTCAACATCGTCATTATCGGCACCCCTAGCGATGGTTTGGTTGCCCGTAGAGAGCGAGACACCGAGTCTAGAACACTCAGACTCAGTCCTACAGCGCCGCGGTTGCCAAACTAAAACCGCGATCCGAGCTTGCTGGGGACGACTGGCGAGCTCCCCCTGATTCTGGGGCCCCTAGACGGAGGCCTGGGGCCCCGAGACAAGCCCTGGGCGTACTGCTGATCTGAGCCCCTCACAATCCGACAGCAAGCTAATAAGCCGACACTTCACAGATACCGTGTGAAGCGCCGTCTTCCGGTGGAGTGCCTTATGTGCCATGGGATAAGCAGCGTGACAATAGCTGTGATGAGCATCAATTATCGTGCTGCTACGTAGGGGCCAGACACGCTTGAGTTGAGAGCCTGGATGGGTCTCATCAGTCCACCAGTGCATCAGAAAGTAGGTCTTTCATTAAAGTGAAGGGGTCACTGATACAAACAAGAAATGCACTGAACTTTGGCTTTCTGGGAACATTTTGAGACCTTATGCTGACGGATTCGACATTTGATATACCATGCGAGGTACTGTGCAAACGGCGCTACGTAGGAAGCATTGCTTGTATTGTCAATACCCGACATCTTAAGCTGTGTCTTTGATTACACCAACTTTATTTTCGCATCAGCGTATAGAGTGTGAATACATAACCATTACGTTTTCCACAACGTCGGTAAAGCAATACCTCCAGACAAATCTAAAACCGTTAACAGCCAGACAGTCAGCGTAGAGACTCAATGATGCGGCATCCAGGTTCTTATTGAGAAACTGCCTTGTTTGGAGGTTGATGGGCTACACAGCTCACCAGGCCTGGTATTTCGGTCGAGGACATCGATGAGTTTACGAGTGCTGACGGCATGGCTTGACCGACGTTTATTGCGAAAACAGTTTATTTTGGGGTGAATGTCGTTCACAGGAAACTGGACTGCAGCATGCGAAGTTTGCATGACCTGTTCTTACTACGGAGTATGCGTAAAGTACGGTGTAAGGTGCTCGAAATCAGTTTCGAAAAAACGAAAAATGAGTCATCTCCGCGGTCCAGTGAAAATTACTTGGTCCGATTGCATTAAAAATGTATGTACGCATCGCAAGTCTACGTGCGCAAACTTTGCGCGTCACTGTTCGAAATCGAGAATGCTCGTAATGGAAATGACACAGACGTACATGTTAATGTGTGCAGTCGCAAATACACTTTTCGCGGATGTTCATATAAGCAAATACTCTTAAAGGCTGGTGTTCGTATGCGCAAATGGTCGTAATTGCAGATATTCATTAACAGTAATGTAGATGCATGCGCAAATGTCTGAACTTAAGTACCACCCAAACCATGTTTTCCTCCAGGCATGCCGTATGCTAAGATTTGCGATACGAACATTTGCGTCCACAAAAATCCGTTGTACGAACTGTAGCATCTGCAAGTATCTGTGGCACGAACGATTGCGATACGTACATAACATACGTTAGTATCGACCAACAATAGTGGTGAGAACATATGCACACATGGGCATTTGCTGTGCGTACATTTTTCCGCTTATCCCTGGACTGGTAATGCAGCAGCATTATGGATACGAGCACCAGGACGGGTACATTGCTAAGCCCACCTGACATGGTAAGGTAAGCTAGAACCGGCCAGACAGGGCCAATCTGGGCCGGGGGACCTTGTCCTTGCATTATACCTTTGCGCGAAATTACCCAGTGTTATTAGCTAAAACGAAAACGAAAGCCAAATTATCAAGCGCATTGCTGCGTCACAATTTGGATGTTGGACTTGACGAGCACGTGACAGTGCAGGTGTGGAAATTTTCCCACGCAAAGAGCTGACATACCTAACAGTACAGTACACAGACGCAGCCCTGCTGTCTTCGGGTGAAAAATGACGTCATCAGACCAGTCAGACGCCACGCCAATGGCCGTGAGGGGCACCGCCGGGTGAATAGTGACGTCATCAGACCAGCTAGACGTCGCGCCAATAGCCGTGAGGAGCACCGCCAGGTGAATAGTGACGTCATCAGACCAGCTAGACGCCACGCCAATGGCCGTGAGGGGCACCGCCGGGTGAATAGTGACGTCATCAGACCAGCTAGACGTCGCACCAATAGCCGTGAGGGGCACCGCCGGGTGAATAGTGACGTCATCAGACCAGTCAGACGCCACGCCAATAGCCGTGAGGGGCACCGCCGGGTGAATAGTGACGTCATCAGACCAGCCAGACGTCGCGCCAATGGCCATAGGCGACGTGTCGGATCACTGCCAGCGGACGTCGCAATCCACGTCCGTATGCTGACAACGGTGGCTTTAGATTGCACGATGCGTCCATTTTAAACTACATGTCATGGTCAGTGAGACAAAGTGTCCATAAATTTATGCGGCACTGCTCTGGCTGTCATCAAATTGTTGTATTTGCACAAATGCGAAGTGCATGGATACTGCACCGTTCACACTACGCGCAGCGGCCGACTCCGACCCCGTGGTCTAGGGAAACAAGCTAGACTCGTGGTACAGCGGTTCTGGGTGTGAGCCCTAAGAGTCGTGATACAGCGATGCTGGGCGTGAGCTGTAAGACTCGTGGTACAGCGGTGCTGGGTGTGAGCCCTAGAGTACACGCATTGCCTGACCCGGCCGAGGCGTGGAAAAACCAGCTGGAAAGTGGTCAAAGGAGTCAAAGACACGATAATCTAGATACGGGCAGTCGTGTTGTGGTTATCTAGGCCCGGGCAGTTGTGTTGTGGCGCAGTACGGTGCGAACAATCCCTCCCAGGCACCAGCCACCTGCCGTAAGGCCGAGGCAAAAAAGTCGATGAACTTGGTCGGCGTGTGTTGAGCGGTAGCTTCGGGGCACCTGTAACGAGCGAATGACTTTGTATTAGATAAGAAAGTAAAGTGAACGAGGACGAAAATACTATCATTTCTGTCCAATCTGTGGTTTTAAATTGCACCATGCTGTCTATGCATGCACTCTCAAATGCTGCTTCCACCTCGGTCCACTGTGCAAAATTGGAACCCTTTGAAAATTTGTGCGGCGGTGGGGGCATATCGAGATACGAGCTCGATTTTCTCCACACGAGGCCCGTGAGCGCCACGCATAGGGTGAGAAACGTCGGATGGCCGACGGTCGAGTCTCGTGAGTGTAGAGTTAATTCTTCATGCCCATTTGCCGATCCAGTTTTATCGCCACTGCCTCGGTATGTATGCGAGAGAGGCACAGAATACTGCCTCACCGAAGCCGTACACACATACCGTTGCATCCCGCTGCTCGGTCTGACATGCATACAAACACACATACATACATATACACATACATCCACATGCACACCGCTGTTACAGCACTCGATTTCATTGGCGCCCCCAACACTTGTTCTGCCCAGGCCGGCAGTGCACCTGGCTGCCACCAGAGGCGCCCCGGTCGCACCGCCCCGGGCGCTGCAGCGCGCCAGCTGGGCCGCCCCGCTCCGCTGTGCTGTATAGTTGCGTCACTTGTCGCGGCGGGGGGCGGTCCTGAGCGGAGCGATGGCGTCCGTCGTTGGCACGTACCAGCACGAGAAGAGCGAAAACCTGGACGCATTCTTCAGCGCGATCGGTGAGTCGGCAAGCATCAAGGCGCGCCAACAGCAGCTCCAGCCACTTAACGGTCACTCTTAACCGGTTGCCACGGGCGAGGGTTTCGAGTCTGACCTCTGCCGACGGCTGCAAGGTTACCCACCCGGCCGGGTGGTGTGCGTGACTGTCGCCCAGCACGCCGCGGCACTGCTCTGTTCCCGTATCAGACCCTATGCGACCTCTTCGCCTGACGTCGCGCAGAAGCGCCGCGCTCGTGCCGGTGCGGCACTGGTCCAGCGGTACGTTGCGTACGAGAACAGCGACGAGAGCTCAACGTGCTGCCAACAGTGTCGAGACGCATGCGTGTCTTTAGCTACACTGGTATTCCTGGCAGGACGCCCATCTTGGCGTGTGCTAGTTAGGTTTTGCTGGGGGCGAGAGATCTTATTCGGCTTGATTGAGTCCCGGCCCGTTATTTCGGGGAGACAACCACGAGCGTTTCAACGTAGTGAGCCGACAGCTGATCATAAGCACGGGACGTGGATCCCACAGATGGATCGCGGATCCCGGTCCCGGATCCCAGGTTTCGCGCTTGAGATCCCGGCAAATGCTGCGGGGTCGGTGAGCGGGGCGACGAACCGTCCAAAGTGAAGCATATTGGAGTTTGTAGACCTCTGGGCAGAGCTGTGCGCCCCTCCCCCAATGCTACTCTGAGCCCCCTCAAGAGGGAATTCTGGGCCAAGTGAACACAGAACGGTGATCTTAACTAATAGTATAACAGGTAGTAGGTGCCTAAACACATCACTTTTGGCATCATTTTAAATGTGTGCCAGGATCATCCTGAAGGCACACATTTTTTTTGTCAATCAATCCTTCATATTTTAGGCCAGTCTGCTAATGCTTTACAAGTTTTTCAAATGGTAAAATCTGTATCGGGATAAAGAACAATTCGCTGCAACATGCAACAGCTTTTAAAAGTACAGGGTGACCCGGATAGAACTTGACGCGTGTTTTCCTGCGGTGGACAGTGTATTTATTGCATAATCGTAGCTGCGGGGGTTATGCAACACGATCAGCGAGAGCGGCAGTTATAACTTATCTCTAGGCAAGGCTTACAAAGATGTTTCTTTCTGTGAATTCCATCCCATTCTAAGCTTTTCAAGAAACGACCGCTCAAATTAGCTTGAAACGGGAATTCATTCCTTTGCAGGAAAACAATTTTTAACCTGTGAAATATTTTTGAGAAGTGCGTGTTTCGATTTTAACATCGAGGACGCAAATCAAAGTGGCCGAAATCCGGAGAGAAATCGGGTTGTGGGACAGCTCAAACTTTTCGGCTGAGCCTCCCCCCCCCCATACCGACTTCAAAAAGTAATATCTCAGTGCATGAGCGCTATTGTCACGGAGCGGGGTTTACAGAGCTTCCTCGGTCTCCACGTTGTAACGGGGCGGGGTTTACAGAGCTTCCTCGGTCTCCACGCTGTAAAGAGGTGGGGTTTACAGAGCTTCCTCGGTCTCCACGCTGTAAAGAGGTGGGGTTTACAGAGCTTCCTCGGTCTCCACGTTGTAACGGGGCGGGGTTTACAGAGCTTCCTCGGTCTCCACGCTGTAAAGAGGTGGGGTTTACAGAGCTTCCTCGGTCTCCACGTTGTAACGGGGCGGGGTTTACAGAGCTTCCTTGGTCTCCACGCTGTAAAGAGGTGGGGTTTACAGAGCTTCCTCGGTCTCCACGTTGTAACGGGGCGGGGTTTACAGGGCTTCCTCGGTCTCCACGCTGTAAAGGGGCAGGGCCTGCAGAGCTTGCTCGGCCTCCACGCTTATTGTCCGCACCGTGCCGTACCGGAACAATTCGATTGCCTGCTCTCAAGAGTCTGAGAAGCCTGAGCTGAGATACACCGGGGTGCATCTGATGATCATCACCCTGGGGTTCAGGGCGCCTGATGACATGCCGCCCGCAGTAACCTGCTCGGCACTCACGCGGCTGCCGCCGCCCCCCCCCCCCCCCCCCCAGGTTCAAAGCACCTGGTGACTTGCCGTCCGCCGTAACCTGGTCGGCACTCACGCAGCTCCCGCCCCATGGAGACAGCCACCTGTGTCTCTCGCCTGAGACAGGACAACGTGCCAGGCGGTGTCAGAAGGGAGGGCAGAGGCTGACAACTGATTGTCGCTTCCAGGAGTCCCGTGGATCCCGCGGAAGATGATGACAAATTCCAACCCAACGGTACAAGTCAGTCAAGATGGAGAGACGTACAAAATTCGGACGGTTTCAGCAACGAAGACGGTTGAGATCACATTCAAAGTGGATGAGGCATTTGAAAGCAGCCTTATGTCTGGAGAGAAAACGCAGGTGAGCAGACTAAATCTCACATGAGAAGTGTATTGGCCGGCATAGACTCGTGGCACCGCGATGGATTCTTTCTATTATTTTATAACTTGCAGAGATCGCACGAAAACGTAGCTTGCAAAGCGTTTTTTGAAGTACACTGAATCAATACAATCAATGAAGTACACTGGATAAAAAACGAGAGTTTCAAAGACCTCTATATCGACTGATAGCAAGTGCGTGGTTCTCCAACGGTGACACGCACGTTTGGTCGCACCACTTAGATAAAGAGACGAAGCCCATACTGGCGTATTTAGACACCCGTTCATGCCGTGGCGGTAAACGGAGTTTGCCAGGAACGCCCGGACATTTGAACCAATGACCTACCGAGGTAATTTCCGTGTGACCCACCAGCGTTGTCGCCTTTCAGAACGTGGTTCGCAAGGAGGGCGACTCCCTGATCCAAGAGCAGGACAGCTCGAAGGGCAAGATCATCATCACGAGAGCCTTCTCCGAAAACGCCATGGACATGGTCAGCATCGTGGTATCCTCTAGCACATGCACCCCCCACCCCATGCTCATCGCCAGGGACGCGATGTTTACTCCGGTTTATCAGTCGCGTGCTTCCCGTCAGCTTGGAGACACAAGCCAGGTAGCCGAAAAAAAAACTCGAAGTAACCGGGTCAACAACTTGTCACGCACCGCAGGGTCCACTGATTCGCGGGGCCCCACGACTTCCAGACATCGACCTCGGGTCGGGAACGGCGGCAGCGGATATCAAACCCGGTGGCCGAAGGTCGGGGAACGCTTCGGCACGGCTGATCAGCTGCGGGACGGCGTCCTTGTCCGTCACGGAAGCCGGGCGGCGATCCAATCAGCGGGATGATTTCCAGTCCGTTGATTGGCCCTGGGGTCCACGGTGCTTAACACGCTGGCGTGGCGACAGCACAATGGCGACTGGCGTGGCGACAGCACAATTCGCGGTTTAGTAAATATGCTACCCAATGCGTCATGGTTTAATCATGTCATCATACATTGTACAGCATTATTGAGAACCAGTCAACGGTAGTTATATCTGGAAATCACGCTCACAAGCGCCCGATTCCAATGCCTCAACAAATATATTTTTGTCTGGCCTTGATCGCAGCATAGCTTATGGAATGGCAGGATTTTAATGGCGTTATTATGATATCATGAATGCCAAGGTGACTTTGGAATACGCTCTCTGATGTACTTCTCCCCATTTTCGCGGACGTTTAGCTCAGAAACCAGAGGGGCTTAGGTCTTAGGAAATGCAGGATTGTGAACGGCGCCAAAAGGTCTTCCAGCTGGCTATTTCAGTTCAAAACTCCATATAAATGTCGAATACTTCCTTTGAGTATTGCGGTCGGGCCTCACTCTGGTTCGGCCCTATCCATAGAGCAGCTGGGGAATGCGGCACATCTGGCCACATTCGTGATAACATAGGTGAGCCCGCGTTCCGGTACACGAGTTTTGTGTCTTGCCACACCTTCGGCTGGCAGCTGGCCAAGAGTGTCAGGCGGGCTGGCAATGCGTTTCTGTCTTTGTTTCGGATGGGCCTTGCGTATCTCGGCACTTTGCCTATCTGACGTTACTGACCAGCTAATACGGCGGTACACACTAGATGCTGCATTGTCCACAAAAAAGAAAAAAGGACAGGCCGTTCACTCCAACGCACAGTTGCGCCACAGGATGATCACAAAAAACGGTTTGTCAACCGTTGCGCGAGAACGGCAGGTGGGCGTAATCAGCTGCTAGTCAGCTGAGTCAACCCGCCCCAGCTGATAACGCCCACTCAGCTGGTACGGGCTCTGCGAAGGCTATGCATGCCGCGCCAGACGCGCAACCTCGGGGCACGAATGAGCCAGTCAGTCAGTAACGCAGGCAGGGGGGAGCACAGAGGGGTGCGTGCCGCCCCCTCCCCCCTCGTTAGGTTCCGAGGGGTTCGAAAGACCCCTCGGAACGTACGATTAAGGGTCCGAAAGGCCGGACGGAGGTCGCATTCAGGGGTCCCGGCCCGCAGGGCCGGGCATTCCAAGGCCGGCCAGAGTGCCCTGTGCGCTGATCAGGGGCCCCTGGGTCTATAAGGGCCTACCTGTCGGCCAGACACCACCAGCAACGCGTATTCGGCACCGTGGTGGCATGGGCGTTATGGTCCATTTCCCAGGCGGGGACAAAGCTGGAACCAGCGATCTACATTGGTTGGGGGCCCACAACGCCTAATGGGGGCCCTGTGTTGACAAAGGGCCCCGACTCGGCCAGAGGTAGTGCTCGAGGGGGCCCGAAGAACCTAGGGCCCACCGGGTCCGACGATCAAGGGGACATTTGAAGGATCTATGGGCACGAAAGACTGGTCGAAGTCTTATTCAGAGGCCCCGGCCCGCAGTGACGAGCGATTAAACGACAGGCAGAGGACCGTTTACGCAGATCGAGGATGCCTTGAGTCGATATGAGCCTATATGTCGTTCGGGCACCACCAGTACCGCACAGTCGGCTTCGTGTCGGTATAGGGCTAGGGACCCTCTTTACAATCTGCTTTAAAGCCGGGATCAGTGATTTACACTGGTCATGGGCCTTGTATCCGTCAGGGGCCCACAGCGCCCAACAGAGGATCCTGTGCTCGCAAGGGCCCCGCGCCGACCAAGTAAAGTATTCGATAAGGCCTGAAGAGGGGCCCGGGGCGGCCCACTGTAACCGACGATCAAAGGCCCTGTTGGAGGGCGTAAGGACCCGAAGGACTAGCTGTAGGCCACATAAAAAAATCGCGGCCCGTAGGATCACAACCTTAAATATCAGACAGAGATCCTCTTGCACCGTTTTAGGAACCCCTAGACAATGCGGATATCTAAGTCGGCCACAGACCACGAACACCGAACGGTCGGCTCTATGCCCGTCTGAGCCCTTGAGACCCATTTCCCGAGCAGGAACTAGGTCAGGGCCCGCGATTCGCAATGTTCAGGGTCTCTGACACAATGAGGGTTCCTGTGTTGGTCAGGCGCCATGGTGCCCAACAGAGGTCCTGTGACGGCAAGTGGTCCCGAGTCGGAACGCTGTTCAAGTTGGCCGGACGGGGGGTCAAAGGGTCTCGAGACCAAACATCAAGAGCCCGATTGGAAGACTGATGGGCTGACCGTAGGTCACATTAAGGACTTCACCGACAGGACCGTGATCTCAAATATCAGTAAGAGGACCTCTTGCACCGATATTCACCCCTGAGACAGAGCGATCCTCTGTTTCGGCCAGAGATCACCAACAACGAACAGTCGGCTCCGTGCGGTCCGAGCTCTGGGGACTCATTTTCCAGAGCAGAGACTAAGGCCGGGCCCGCGATTTACATCGGCCGGGCTCGTGTTTCGTTAAGGAGCCCGCCGTGCCTGACATGGCATCCTGTGTCAACAAGGGACACACACATCGGCCAGGGGAATATTTGCCCAACAGGGACGGGCACGGGAGCCCGAATGACAGGGGGCCTTTTATGTTGGTCTGGCCCCTCTGACGCTGAAAAGAAGCATGAAAGCTTCTGATGAGTGCTCCCATTCAGGCATTGGGAACACCCGGTGTCGGTCAGGGCCCCCAGTATTGAGCGGTGGGCCCTCTAACCCAATTCCAGCACGTGGCCCGTTAAGCTGAACTGGAGTCTACGTGGCAATTATTTAACCGCCTGCAGCGATCAGGGATGCTGTTGCATCACTGAGGGTTCCTTTGTGGAGCCCGGGTCAGCTGCGCGGATCAGAAGGCCTCCCGCGTCAGGGAACGGACCAATGTGGTATGATGTATTTACCCCTCTAAGGGCATCCGGATCGGTAGGGGATCCCGCCTCGTGTCGCCAGAATCACAGCGGGAAGACACACGGCGGTAAGACAGGATGGCGCTTCAGCCCTTGACCGGGAACAGTAATGTACCTCGTATTGTTCAACTGAATGGGGCCCCTTTCCCGGAAGGAAGTGGTATAATGAGTATTGAGTGGGGAGGGTCGAAATGACCTTAAAAACGCACAAGGCCATCCATGTTTGCTTGAGAACGTTCATTCTTTTGCAGAGTGGACTGTTGAAACAACTAACATCAAAACATTTGAGCCTGCGCGCCGGGTGCCGGTAGCGTAGCCTGCGTTAACTATTGCGCGTCTGGGAAACCAGAGGTACGGGCTCGATTCTCCGGGTGCCCGCCCTTCCAGCCAGGGTAAGAGGCAGGCGACGCCATATCGCATCAGCAGCTGGGTGCGGCGTAAAGCCCCAATGACACGTCGACAATCTCGAGAAAGCAAGGATGGCCTGGGCTGCAGTTTCCATAAAACCGAACGGCGTTGGTCATTGCGTGTAACGTCAGGCGGCGGGCGCCGTGCACGCAACAACGACCACCGTAAAATAACGTTTTTGAATGTATTTCAAAATTAGTTCATAAGTCCAAAGATTAGGCCGGGTGATTTTTGAATACTTTGAGGTTTCCTCCAGACAGGTTAATGACAGCAACACGAAAAATAGAGGTTCTGCTTCGACTTATCCAGCTCCACCACCAAATTCTAGCACGTCTGCGCGGCGTTTTTAAGGCCATTCCGTTATAATCAACGATCTAAAAGTGCAGAGGTTAAATATAAGACCGAAATATCTGTTAGTGCGCGATTTTATGTCCTAAGATCTTCCGGAGCTTATTTCAAATGCATCATCATTTTCGTCCGCTTGTTGGCCACGGCCGCGTATAAACCGCGGGGACAACTCCGGGCGGCCGACGGAGACTGTGACGTCTGGCGTCGGTTTGTTTTCACACGCGCTCGGGTGGGGGGTCAAATTCCCCCCCCCCAAAGGCCTTTCCAGAATGGTTTCCGAGCGGCGCGGTGTAGGCGCACCGGATTTTGCATAGTTGTAGACAAATGAATAGTGGATCGTTTGGCATAAAAATTACATGTACCTTGTAAGGTCGCTGACCTGCGGCAGTTCAAAGTTATGCCATGGTTTCAGGGAAGTCAATTTCCAGGGAATCGTTCAATTTGATGCAACAACGGAGTGTTAGACGAAGCCATACATCTCTGAGATGCTTTCTTAGGCAACACAAATATTAAATGAGCAAATTACGTTGACCTAAGGTCAGATATGAAGGCCAGACCAAGATTAAAACCAACCTGTTTTATTCCTGTAAGGTTAGCTGTATGGAACACTTTCTGGTGCTCATTTATAATTTATTGATAGGAGAAACCGCATGATACATATTCCATGGACTTCTTAGAGGTCGGAAAAGGTCATTGACCTAAAATGACCAGTGCGAACATGTTGTTTTTAGGAACATACTACCTAGTGTAATCCTTGTCGCTTATTGAAATGGAAAATTCAGAGCAGTCCTGTATGATTTTGGTCGCCATAACCTTCAAAAGGTCAGACAAGGTCACTGACCTTAAATGACCATGTAAGCTTTTGTTTAGAAACAGTTATCTGGGTTCTGGCGGCTTTTTGGAGACCAACCTGAAATTTGACATTGTTTGACCTTAGTTGACCCAAAGGTCATGACATAGGAACCTCAAACTTTGACCTAAGTGACTTCACGTACAGGTCGACACACCCTGTAAATTTGGTGTTTCTAGCTGTCTCAGTTCCCGAGATCTCAGGGGAGTCAAATTGCCCCCCCCCCCCCCCCGAGCGAAGGGTATCTAACCGGCCACCCAGGCGCGTGTTAAGACATGCAAGCGCGCACGCTCGAAACTACCGTGCTTAATTTGAACCACAAATCGATTTTGACTGAATGAAAATTTGCTAGCAAACGTGGCTTGGCCTCGTTAATGCACATTTTTGACCTTAAATCTACATTTGTGGTCCTAGATATCTCTGGACAACCCAAATCAAAATTCTGACGAAGTTTCTGAGTTATGTCGGTGTACAGAGTCGGCTGGACCATCGTAAAATGAAGAGCACCGGTGATTGATTTACGCGGTCGTTTAACGCTTGCTTTTTTCAGTTTATTGATTATAAACATAGGACAGAATTTATCGCGTGCTAGCGTGTATCTTCCATTTCAGTTATGGAGGGTAAATATACATACACACACACACACACGCACGCACGCACGCACGCACGCACACGCACACGCACACGCACACGCACACGCACACGCACACGCACACGCACACGCACACACACACACACACACACACACACACACACACACACACTATATATATATATATATATATATATATATATATATATGTAATGTATATGTATATGTATATATGTATATATCAAAGAACAGCATGCCCCTATTAACGAATAGGCCATACCCGGCGCTTCGTCTGGGGGGGCTCTTTGTCAACCCTGTACTCCCCTCCCCTTACCGAGGCCCTGGCTGCGCGCCTGCAGCCAGCACATGTTCAATGAGGGCCTTGTTTGGGCCAGGTACAGCCAGCGCATTGCTGTGCCTCCAAGTGTTCGGCTCCGCGTGTCAGCGCAGGCGTTAAGCCGTGGCTGATGGCAATCTCGGAGGGCCGGTGATGGCCATGGGCCTATGGAACGGAATTCCTGTGATCTTAACGATGAATGTTAACATGGCGGGTCGCCTGGACTGCTGGCGTCAGTTTCCGCACGGAATGTCCACAAATGTGATAGCTCTGGCACAGTACATTTGGATCATAACTCCATGCCCCAGAAACACACCTGGCACATGCTCTTCTCTTCACTAACACCTCAAGGTATATGTCACCATGACCATTTCCCCCCCAGCCCACTCCGTGACTCGGATTGTTGTTCGTAACGCGCTGCAGCCCGGCTTCGCACAACCCGCGACCGCTCCTGATCGCGTCGATGACTCCTGCCTCGCTGTCATTGCAGACGATGGAACACAAAACCTCCAACGTGAAGGCCACGCGGCACTTCAAGAGGACCGCATGAGGCGGGCGGTACTGCACACTCAGGACCGGCCGGCGGCTGACCGACCCCGCGTCCTCGGTCGGACGCCACGGGGAGCGAGGCCCAGGCCCGATGGCAGCAGCACACCCCGTGCTGAAAGCGCCACCCTCACCACACCCCGCACCGCACTGATTGTACGACGGTGAAGGCTTTATTGGGGTGACGCACCACAGGAGAGGCTATCAGTTGGACCAGTCTTTCTATGCGAGGTTAGCGGCATGTAACTGCAGCTGAAATGTTATTTAGCGCTAGAACAATTATTTTAGTGCGAATCCTTGCGGCAGCAGATTTCTGATGGAGCGCTCCTTGTCGTCGAACTTGGTACCAGCGGTTGTCTCAAATCCCACCAGTGTTACGTATCAGCGACTTTCTTCACCACAGGCTTCCTGGACGACCTCCCTCACCAGACTGCTCGCCACCTCCAAGACGCATGTATCTTTTATACCAATACAGCGTACCCACAGAACGCCGTGCTGGCCTCGTCTCCAAAGAACGTATGCTCGGCCGGCACGCAGCCATCTCGTCGCCTCTTCCCCGCGCTCCGCGCCACAACGCTCGGAACAGACAGATGGCGTGTATTGACGGTGATGAAGGCGATGATGTCACGGCCCACGTGGCCCGAGGCTGCACGCGCCTGAGGTAGCGGACGCCGGCCGCGCCGTCGGCGGTGCGCTCCTCTCGTTCGGGGAGGTCGCCAGGCGGAGGCTGGCGGCCGCCGATGCGTGGAGTCGGGCTCAGAACGCCTCCTCCACTGTAACGGACAGGTCAACAGTTAACATTGAGAAAGACATGTACAGTGGAGGGAAGGGGATGGCGTCTGTGCATTCTGTTTCCACGAGCTAGTTTGACCTTGTCATACGCTTCGCGGAAAGGCCATGTTGATAGCCCCATTAGTTTGATACATATTCAGCAGCTCCAGGGACCCATAGAACATGTTGAAGTAGTGCATTGCCTCCAGGCGATGAATCACCCCGAGCAAGATGATACCCACCAGGCGAAGACCAACTCTCTCGTGGCCACACCGACCACTATACGTTTGTGGTCTGACCTCTGCCCTCAGCGTTGTGGTAACCTTGCCTCTCGCCTTCGGGAGCCAGCACAATCCGTGCCCCCGTTGCAGAAGGGGTCCTGAGCCCTCTCTGACGACCTCCCCGCTGCAGAGGCAGGTCCTGAGCTCCCTCTCTCTCTCCCTCCCTCTGATGACCCCCTCGCTATAGAGACGGGTTCTGAGCCGCCTCTGATGACCTGCCCCCCCCCCCCGCTACAGAGGCGACTCCTGCGCCCTCTGGTGACCTGCCCCCCCCCCCCGCCACTGACCCTGCTGGCCGCTGCGGATCGCGTCCATGATGTCCGGCCCGGGCACCACGCCCGAGCGCAGCATCTGGTTCAGCCGCTCGATCTCCTGCAGCGAGGTGGCGCGCGCGATCGCCTCCTTGATGAGCCGCGTGTCCTCCGCCGTTGGCCCGGCCGGCACCGCTGAAACGCACGCATCCCTGAGGCGGCGCCGACAGGCGGCCGCGCCGCTCCTGCCGCGGCGCGCGGCGGCAGGCAACGGCGCAGAGCGAGCGTCGGGCGCGGACCGGGACGCTCGTGAGGCGTCCGACGCAGGCGCGACGGCGAGGAGCCGGGCGCGTGAGACACGACGTGGCTCTCGTCTACGTGTTGAGAGCGCGAGGAGACACTCGCGCGGGCGTGTTACGTATTCAACAGGCGCCGCTTGAGACCATCACGCGGGCTGATACTGGTGCAGGCATCGTGGCCCAATGGGATGATTGTGCAGGGTGCCGCGGCACGGCATCACGCATCACGAGAACAGCAAATACGCATGTCACCAATACCCGAATAAAGGAGGCACTACGAGCATCCAATGCGTTGAGGGCGTCCGGTTAAGACGATGAACGGTTCCATTGCACAGCAAGTTCAGAACTGTCGACTGAGAAAGTCCTGATGTACGATACCGAGCTTCGGCAAACCACACTCAATGCCTCAGCGTCTTTTCTAAATGCTCAGCGGTCTCTACCACTTCAGTGGGCCAATAATACCGTGCATATGGTTGGTCCACCCCTCTTACGCGGGGGCACATTCCAGAGAGAGAGCTCCCGCTTGAAGACGCGCCTGGGAGCTTACCTCTGGCCTGAACGGCACTCTCCAGACCGGCGCCCGGCACAAAGGTCTTAGCGCGTTTGGAGATCTCCTTCTGCATCTGCTTGCCTTTCTTGCTTTTGAAGAGCGCATTCGCCTGCTCCCTTTCCTGCGGGCATTATTTGGGCCGTCTGTTAGGCCCAACAGGCACATGCTTTAAACCGTGAGCCACACGGCCCAGACATAAGGTCAGCTGGCAGCAGCTTCGGCCGCCAAACACAGACCGCGTGTCAGTGTTTGGCACCGGCCCAACGAAACCGCCGGAAATACCCACTTTGTGCCTTACAATCGCAGGCATCCCGCCATGGAAGTAATTACATCGCTTTGACGCTGTTGTCATAAAGCGTGTCTTTGTTTTGGGTCTCCCGCCGCGACAGTGGCTTTCGCACGCCTCCCTGTATTCCCCAGGCAACCAACGTTCTGTTTTAATGTGCCCTGACCTCGGGGACCACTCCCGATGTACCCGATGCTTCGGGGTACCTCTGAATGCACCCCTGACTGCCATGGCACCACTTTCAAATGTACCAGTGCCTCACCTAAGTGTTCCCGAGGCGCCACCTCCCCATGCACCCCCTGACTCCTACCGCGCCACTTCCAGTGTTCCATGACGCGCGTCGCACTACCACTCGACACACTCCTGCTCCCCTCGCACCGCCTTTCTCTCCCGACCAGCGCCGATGCCCCACCTTCTGCTTGACGCGCCGGAAGTCGAGCACGCGCAGGTGAGGCATGCGGAAGACGGCGTACAGCCGGTAGTGTTGGCGCATGGCCACCGGGTTGCCGAGCAGCGAGAGCGTGGTGAGCTGCGGCAGCTGGCCGAGCGGGTCCAGGTCGGCCAGCTCTTGCAGACTGTTGTTGGTCAGCAGCAGCGTCTCCAGGCTCGGCAGGCTGCTGTGTAGGTCCTCCCCCACTCGGCTGTAGCGGGCGGAGGCGGTGTCATCGGCGGCGGCGGCGGCGACCCATGGAGGTCGTGGTGAGGGTGCCGGTGGGGTGCCGGTGGGGTGCCGGTGGGGTGTCGGTGGGGTGCCGCCGCGGGGGGGGGGGGTCTCACCGGGTACATATCGGCCGCGGGGCGAGTGGCGCCGGGCTCCCGTCAGGGGTCGCAGCGATATCGTGAGCGACCACAGTGCCGGGTCACACACTGCTGACAAACTGGGAACACGACAAGACTGCAAGCCACGGCATTATAACCGGCCGAGCGCCGCTCCACAGATCAGGTCAGGTCACGTCAGTCCCAGGTCAGCTGGGTCGCCAGGGGCGGAACATGCCCGCTTGGTCAGACGTGTGCGTTATCCAACGGTCGGCCCTGCCCTGACCGAGACGGTGTATCGTAGGTCAGCTGCACTTACAGCATGCCAGTTTTTAAGACTTGGGAGTTTTCATGTTGCAAGGTCAATTCCGAGGGTCATGATGATATCCGTACCACGGAATTACACTTAAAAGCACCTACAGTTGATCGTTTCAAAATGCGCTTGTGCCGCACAGCTGTCATCTTCACTGACTGGTACGCTTCTAAACAAGCTGAAGGAACCACTTGCCACTTATCGCACGTTTTCCGATACCACGAACATTGCGTGTCATGTACCACGCAGTTGAACATTCGACTTATCTGGGGCTTGTGTCGCACACATCAACAGCGCATGCCTCCACTAAAAAGCGGCGAACGGCGAACCGCGAATACCAAAACAATATAACCACCATGATTATAGCGTCTTGGTCGCTGTGGGTGCGGAGGCGTGGAGAGTAACAGCCGCTCACCAGCCCTCCCTTCCCCAGCCCCCATCCCCCGCGTAAGAGCGATAGACCAGTACTCACACAATGCGGTTGTTGTTCATCATCAGACTCTTCAACCGCTTCAGCAGCGGGAAGCCGTCCAGCTTACGGATCTCATTGTCGGAGAAGTCTATCGTATCGAACTGATCCTGAAAATAAAGCAGACAGTTCAACGTAGAGAAGGTGCAAAACAGGATAACAAGAAAACAAAACAATGAAAGACACCGTGCAGTGTGTATAAGCAGCTGTGTACATTTCTATTTCCATACGGTACCCAGATACAGCTTAAGTAAGAAAGAGGATTATTGTGTTGCAGTGCTCCTGGACTGTTTCTCATTATCTCGATCATCAATATAGAAAGTGAGTTAAGTGCACAACTGGGAGCTGAGTAGCCAAAGATAGTAATACAACGGCCTGAACTATCCAAAACTAAAGCAGTTAAAAATGACTAGGTTTTGAAAAGTAAAGCAGCTAATGGCGATGAGTTTCTTTGGCACTGAACCTCAAGTTTGGTGCTTCGTGCTCCCAAAATGTGCGACCAAACTGACCTGGACGGCCATTGGTCGGCTTCATGAGACAAGACTCAAGAGCCAGACACCACTGGCTTCCTTAGACACCACGCTATCCACGAACTTTTGTTTCGAAGCTCCAGTTCAGTCTGGGGCCGAACGGCGAAGCGTGGCCTGCCATCCCCTTACCGACAACGCGAGTTCACATGACTCTTGGCTAGGTAAAGCCAGGGTCAAACCATACTGGCGGCTTGTCGATACATGAAGCTGCATGGAATGCGCGCGAGTGGCACTTGGGGCGCGATTGCTTGTTAGGCAAGTCATTACCTGTTCGTGTGATAGTCAACTCTTCCACTCCTGTGGTCGCAGCATATGGCAACATTCTGTCCCAGTGTGGTAAGTAAATACAACCTTCAAGCTACAACACATGCCTTGTCTACAGACGCGTGGTGCTATTGCACAATGTAGCAATATGTGGCCTTTGAGTGACAAAAAATGATGTTTTTCATGCTACCGCACCCACGGCTTACGCTTCACTGCCTGCTAACCCCATCCTTGCTCAAGATTGGCCATCACTGCCTGTTAACCCCGTCCTCGCTCAAGACTGACCAATCATCATCGAGCCAGACTCGGTCAATCTAGCATTTAGGCGCCTAGGGCTTGGACAAATGTATGCCAGGCTTGGACAAATGTATGCTAGGCTTGGGAAATTGCTCCGGCTTCGCGGATCAGCCGGGCAGGCCAGATATCAGGGTATCAGGGTTGGCGTCAGATGTCCAGTGTGGTAGTATGTTATGGTGAATGGATGTAAAAGGATGCAGTCTTCACACCCAACTGGGTTAGTTTTTTAGCGCTGCGCGGCAAGGTTGCAAGATGAAAGTTCAGATGGAAAAAGCATGTACACATTAAGTACATACGCAACGGTTCGTCAGCAAATGTACGTGAGGAATGAATTTCGTATGACAAAGGTATGTAAGCAAAAGCGTGTACGCAAACGCGGTTGGGCAAATAGTCCCATCAAAGTGTGCAAAGTGTGCATGAAAGTACTCTTAGCGACAAAACTTCGCCGGGACAGAGGTTTGCAGGCCAACTTCCACCTGCATTAAAATGAAACCACTGAACAAACCACCTCATACATCACTGGAATGGTGAGCACCACACGTTCACATACACAAGGAAACCATCCTTAGCAATCCGCTGGCCACACACATGCAGTTTAACATAACCTTGACACATAACAGCATGACCCAAGCAGCTGACTTACCAGTGTTGCCCCCAGATTCTCGATGACAGGGATCTTGTAGCCACGCAGGTCCAGCTCACGTTCCCTTACGGGATTGATGTGCTGGTAAGCCTGCTGGATCAGGTCCACTGACAGCTTCACCATCCTGAATGTGTCTCAGAATGCTGCGCCCAGGCAGAAAGCTTCAGTCTGTGGGAGGGAACATTATGGTGACACACATAACAAGTTCCATTGTTGGTGCATATGCAAAAGTGTATGCATGAAATATGCAAACTTTATGAGCAAAGGACATGTGTGCATTGCTAAACAAAGCTTGCCTTTGCTCTGAACCCACCATCTGCATAGTTGTGTTTGTTCATTGGTGTTTTCGGGCACATTGACTGCAGTGGTCATTCTGTGCCCAACCATCTGCATAGCACAGCTGAGCTACACTGAAGAAGCTACACATGTGTTATGTGATGCTGCAACATGTAGCATACAGCATGTAGCATATGTGTTATGTGATGCTGCAACCCCAATGCAATGCACCACTGTGTTGAGCAGGGGCACAGTTGTGCAAAATACAGAAAAACACACTCAGACATACTTTGACCTACCTCCTCAAAGATGCAGCCCCTCAAACTAAATAAATAGCTACACACTAAGTGTTGACACTTCTTAGTCATATCTAGTTTGCTTACAGTATATTTTTCAATGGTCACCCTAGTGAACATATAATATAATAACAAGAGATCATCAATAGACTAATATAAACAACAGAAAAAACTTTTTGATCTCAACAATGAAGAGCAACCCAGGCACACCACATATATACCACATATATTATATATACCACAGCTACACAAAGAACTGTGGAATAAAAAACAAAACAAAAATGTTAGATTAACAAATCATGCCTCCACATTTCATTTTCCATGGAGCATGCAGATGATCCAGACTTCACATGGCAGTTGTCCACCCCCAGTAAATCCTGAATGTTACAACTAATGCTGTGATGATCATTTTAAAGGAAATAGTATGCAAAGCTGAGCATCCTTTCATGGAACACAAGCGATTAACTATGCAGCCATGTTAGGTCTCAGAGGTCATAGCACAAACAGGATTCCAACCTAGCCTAAATGCAAGAGCTAAAGGTGCAGACCACTTTTTCATTATTGACTTACCACAATTATAATTGGAGCTTGAGGACATGCCAACATGCAGTGTTGCATACACAGCCCAACTCTACCATAAGTTAAATATCATCTGATGGTACTCACATAACAGTCATCAATCCCATGTTGAGGCCAAACCTTTGCAGGACTAATGCAATTCAGAATGCCTCTAGCACAAATAAAGATACCATAGCAATCATGAGACTTTCAGTAACAATCTTTTGTTGGGGTTACTAATGACCAGCTCCCATATTAACAATGTTCAACCTAGCCCAGAAATCAAGGATTAACAGTTCATACTAGTGATGCATGTCATTTTAATTCCTTTCCTTTAAATGGAGAGTTGTGAAAAGGAGCCCTTTTCACATTTGTTTATCACTTGATACACTATGAATAACAACAATGCCTTTTCTACTTCAATGCCTCTGTGGAATATATAGCAGGCTATTTTGAATGAAGCTTTGGAGTTGGTTTCACTTGTAAGAATAGTTTGCTAGATATACCAGAGCCCCTACCCTGCAAGAGAATCTATGGTCTAATATATGGTGCTAGCTGAAAGGTTTCAATATATTGCACAATACCACAATGTGGCAATTTTGCCAGCCCAGCAATATTTTGACAAGTTACCAACTATGTGCAATTGGCATGTCAAACAAAGCACCTTTCAACATTCCTGGAATGCAGACTTACATAGATCACACCATTGTGCTCAGGTATCTGGTACTCTGCAAGGTGAGCTAAACTTGCTACAAAAATGGCTTTTGTATTACTGGTGGCATATTTATGCAATGGGGAAAGTAACAACAACATGCTATAACAACCCAAGAGGTAACATTTCTTGCATTCATTTGCACAATAGGACAGCAAAGGGCACAACTAGGTCAACATAACTGAGATAGAAAGCAACATTTTATTGAAGTCAAGCCAATTTACAGAGGACAGTGAAATGCTGAGCATACCTGGACATGGTTTATAACAAAATCAAAGGGATGACAAACTTGAGCATCTTCCTTGTCTGCCAATGACAATTGTCTGCCTTGTCTGCTGATACCCTACATGGCAGATCAGGTTATTGAGCTTTAAGGACGCATCAAGTGTGCTGGTTATTAGCGCCCCTGATAGATTCATGATGGCAGCTTGTAACTCATGCTCTCGCCTCCTTGGTTGTTTCCTTTAACCCTCTGGTCTAGCCCAGCTACTTACAGATCTTCAGATCAAAGATTGTCATGGCCATTTCCAGAGACCAGCGAACGGTTGGGCAAACCTGAAAACGTTTTTTTACGAAATCAAAGGGATACCGAGGTTACACTACCTGTTAGATCAATGACGGCAGCTTATGACTCGTGCTCCCCGCTCCGTGGCTATTTGCTTTGACTCTGATCCTGGTCTCAGCGGAACAATTCAAACGTTTTAGCCGCGCACGCATTCACGGGCACGGGTTTGGTAACACCGCGATGTCTCCTCATGTAATCCACGGCGCACCCAAGGCTGGCGCACCGGGAGTAGTCCACAAACGGAAACAAAGTGTCAGGATTGCCTAAAACGAATAGTGATGGTTAAAATATCTAGAACCGTGGATTCAAGGCATGTGGCGAATGCTGCCTGATACTCCAGGCTCCAATCAGGCAAATAAAGCCGTCAGTCAGTGTGCTTTCGGAGGTGATGTAAGTCGAAAAGAGGCAAGCGCTGACGTTGCAGACGCAAGAGCGCGGATGTTTTCCAAACTGCTGTTCTGTGCCCATACCAGCTTCTTTCTTTCGTGACTGATCTGGCCGGGGAATGAAAAAGACCACTTCCTTCAACCGAGTACCGAGCCTGGGATGCTTCCACTCCCTCACCCCAAGGCTCCCGGCAGTCTGCGCTCAGTGCCTGCACTCGACAGCATGGGCCCGTCGCCATCACACTGGTGTTCAGGAGCGGGCCGGTGATGAGACCGCCTCACCCGCGGACCTGAGTGACAGCGATGCGCCAGCTCTCGAACCAGACACAACCACTTCGCGTTAAATTGCAAGCTAAACGCATGCTGGTTTCAGTAGTCTCGGCTTCTGGCCCAGATATACTAGTTTCGGTAGTCTCAACTCCGGATTCAGACATACTAGTCGCGTGCATGTGGCAGCAACAATGCTCTGGGAACTGTAAAGAAATGCTGCAAAAACAAATACTTGGGTGGCGATTGCATTTGAAATAACATGTGGTACCGTTGAAGGATACACCGCAAATTCGGCGTTGGCAGGAAATACATACATATTTTTAAGAGTGAATATCATACACCTAATTCACAACAAGTAATGTTATGAATTAGGTGCATGATTAAACAACAACAAATAAGGTGTATATTAAAACAACAAGCAATCAACAAAGTTTGTCGCTTCATACGGACTGAACAGTGCCACATCATTCGTCAGCAGCTAATCGAAGCACCAGCAGGGTTTGCTAAACGCTGCATTCATAGCCGCACAGGACTAGACAGGACAGCTTAGTGGAGTGATCCTCTTCCTAGAACGTAAAGCCGGTCACTATAGTAGTGTCGTCAAGAAACATACACTCGCTCTGGCAGGACCATTCCGACGCTTGAGGCGAGGTCTCTGTGAAAGATCGCGGAAGCAAAGATTAAAGCTGTAACCGATTTTAATGGGTTTTACAGGATACGGCTGTATGCCAACGATCCTGACACATCCCTATTTCTTGTATTTCGCTGTTCAGTCAGTTACCTGCAGGGAGAAACCCCGCCGCCGACCTCCACGACCGCTGCTTGCGCGGACGGGCCGCCTTGCTCACGCCGAGCGATGGTGGGGCCGCTATCTTCCTGTCTACCTGGTGCTCTACAAAGCCGCAGTGATCGGCTGCAGCTTGTCCGACATGGTACGAGTGACACCCGTCCGGAAAGCCTGGGGAGTAAGGACCCATCGCTGGTGCCGATCGCCGCGGCGCCGCCGCTGGCTCGGACACTTCCGCCGCGCTCACGTCGAGCATCGGCGGAGCTGACGTCTTCCCTGGCGTTCGTGTGACAGGCGGCAGAGTGTTCACCAGCCGTTGTGCCGGATCCCGTGATGGGGTGCCGGGGCGGGGTATCTGATATTGCCGTGGGATGGACGTTGACACCCCCGGTGCCGCGGTGATGCTGCTGGTGCCCGCAGGTCGGCAGCCGCGTATGTGGCGCCAACGTACGAGTCAGTGCCGAATCTGCATCGTGCGGGGCGTGATACATCGCCTTACACGGCCTTCGCCAGTTTCAGGGCATTCACAGAAAGATAAAGAGCACAGGTACTTGTCACACTCAAATGTAATTCGGTGCACGAGCAGGCGCCCAGGCAGATCAGGGATTGGTTAGCCAGCTTTTAGTTATTGGGATAAATGTTTCCGAGCACTCAAGACCAGCCACAAACTTTCAGAGAAAGATTATCACAGCCATAGCAGGAAAAATACACCCGATAACACATATCCACTTTCAACTATCTGACAATGTCATGATGCTTGTATTTTAATACACAAATTAATCACCTGACAATGCATGAAATCCGTGTTTTACATATTTCATGATGCCGCAACACTCCGAATCAACATATCCATCAGTTACCCAACAATGTACTTGCAGCAGATCTACCGCCCTTCAAAAGTTGGTCTTCACGAGCCCATCACGACGCCTGACTAGCGCCCAGGCGCGCCCGAGTCACCGACCGGATTGTCGTGGGGCGCCACAAACTCCTCCAAGAAAATTATCAAGGACTCGCGCGCACCTTTCTGCGAACTCACAGTGAAACTCTAAGTGAATTACGAACAACTATAAAGCTAACTGGCACAAAACATTGATGAAACGTCACACAAAAAGACATCACGCATAACAAAAGCCTTCACAGAGAACAGGGAGTAAGCCAGACGAATCCAACGATCGGAGATGTGAAAACTGTAGGCAGGGGTTTCTGCGAGATACACCATCAGACAAATGAATCCAGGATATCGGCACCTACAACTGGCTTAATGTCGTATGAACAGCAATGCTGTAATGAATTTTTGCCAGATCTTGTTGCTCTGCAGGCGTGCGTTGTGCAGCTATGTCTGGTGATGAAGACACACCCGTCGGAGGGGGTCAACAGCATCGTGATCAGCTCGGTGTGGTAGTTTTCCAAACCGTGCTGAGTTTCCAGGAGTTGGCGGCTGGGGGCTCACACGTCACCGGCAGCGATGCGGCGCACCACTGCACTCTCCAGCAGCTGCCAGGGCACTGCATGGTAAGCCGTGTCCAGCTGTACAATGAAGCAACGAAGCTCCTCCTCAGCACTCAAGACGACCTCTTGACAACTCCTGCGGAGGGATTTATCAGCCCACCACTATTTTTCAGTCACAGACGGTGTCTTAATGTGAGACGTGGGGGTCTTCCGACTCCCGACGGCTCGCCAGCGCTTCTTGGCAGGTGGGCATCCTGCTCTGTCCAGTGCCCTTCGGACGACGAATACGGTGATATAGTAAACGGCACTGGCGACCACAAAGGACAGTCGCGGCCGGTGGTCATGATCGCCGAGTATATCGAGCGCCTCGGTGCTGTCGGTGTCACACGTGTCATCTGGACCCCGCTAACTGGGATTGTAATCCACAGCTAGGATGGATTGGGATCCAGCCCAGTGTTCTCCCTGCTGCGTCCGTCCACGTGCCAGAATGTAGCGACGAACTGGCTGGTGTTCGGGTTGTGTCATTCATCCAAGAAATCACGAATGGACGGTAACAAACGAGGCAGACATTTAGGGTTATTTTCTGGGTTTTAAGACACTGACACTCGTTCTAAAAAAGGTGGAGTAGATGGCATGGATGTCCTGTTCTCAAACAGGTGGAAACAGCCTGCAGAACAAGAAGTACAACCTTACTTCAACCCAGTCGATGGTCTTTTCTAGGCCACTGCCGGTAGCTGACAGTGGAACAATGGAACATATTACTACACATGAATGTTAAAAGGCCATAGATCGCCGCCCGAAGTGATGATGGAACACACACACCAAGGTAATGTTTGTGACTAGACTTAAGAGTTTTTCCACTATGTGTTGTTCACAGCACTGTTTCTGGCAGGGGAAAATGCTACATGGAACAGAAACACGACAGCGTTATTGGAGTTTACTTAAACATTTACCCATCTCGCATGCATCAATGTCTAGGAAAATAATTCACAACCTGGTTGACCAAATTATCTCCCATGTGATTTGGACATGAATCCAGAACTGATAATGCCACATTCAAACTATCGAAAAAGACATGTCATACCTGACAGCAGATGCATTTGCACTTGGGTAGCAGTGTGGGTGAATAACTCATACTAAACAAAACGTCCTTTATGCCGTCTGGATCAGTTTCTGATTCTAGGAATAATCAATACTCATTGGACCAGATTTCACTTTACAATGACAGTTCTGTTCTGTCACTGTCATGCTAATACGAACACAAAACAGATCCACTTTTCAGTCACTACGTTATGCCCATGTAGTTTTGCCCGCTACTAAAAACTAAAGGTAGACCACAACAAAATATATACACGCATATGCAATAACCAGAAAATACTGGCAAACACGTGTGACCAAAATTTTGGCACACTGGCTAAAATTTGTCAGCAAAATGTACAACCTTTAGTACTGCTATCGCAATTTTAGCACAGTGACAAACACTGTCCCTACATTCAGAACAAAAAAGGAAAACAACACATTTAGACCTAGCATTAATTAAATTGTTTGTTACAAAGCAGCAGGTAATTAAAGTTAGATGTGACTTACCATCCAGGAACCAGGTAGAAAGGTGTTACGAGGAAAATATGAAATCGCAACTTACCTGCCTCACCATGAAAAGTCTCAATGTCTCTGAAATCATGAAAAGGTACTCATCTGTTATAACTAAATACAAAAAGTCAGACAGCTCAATCAAGGAGCTGAAAGGGGTCTTGAAAACCTGCGGAGCACTGATCCCAACTAGGCCACAAATGCTTCGTTGAAAGGAAACCATGTTGCCAGATTGGCGCCTCCGACTGGCGCCGTCACCACCACATCGCCCTAACACAAGAAAAAAATCCATAGCCGGTGGGGTATAGCTGCGGCTTGCCGAAACGAGGCTGCCACGCAATGTATCCAGCGAAAGCAACACAACAAGAAAGTATTTGCCACTAATTACAATCAACAACACTCTTCCGCACGCCGGCAGACCGCATAGCTGACTCGACTGCTCGAAGACTGCATCTAGTGGTTAAGTTGGTCTGGTCCGTCTGGTACAAGCTACCAAAACTAGCGTGCGATTAGCTTGCAATTTAACGCTGAGTGACACAGCCAGCCGATCCAGCGGCCCAGACACGATCGCCCTCCGTTGGCCGCAAAAACGGCGGCCTGGGTCGCTTCAGGGGAGCCGGACGCCACTGGGCGTAGCGGGCGTTGCCGTCTCCGTAGGCCGCAGACACGCCAGCTTGGAGAAGGTGACAGTCGTGACGACAGACAAACCAA